ATTCTTGGATGGTTGGGCCAAGCATCATACTTAATCTGAGGAGTTATCCAATACCGTGGAGATAAGTCAGGATTATGTCGTACCTGATCAAATTAACCTAGTTGAGTTATTGGGAAATTGTCAATCTCGGATCAATTGTCCCGATATCAATAGTTCACTTGTTGCAACGAACAAGTTTGGAAATATACCGGTAGAGGGCGTATGATTTCAAGACATTCAATCTACATCGGAAAGTTTCTATCCGCTAGAGGGCGACAAAATGTTCGCCATTAGTCAAAATAACTTCTCTAATCCATCGATTTCTTCTCCGCTAGAGGGCGTCCAAAGTGTTGGCTCATATTCTAGCCAATCAGCGTCAAGTATTAACATGCCGAATTTTGCCACTTTCTCAGCATGGATCACAATTTATCTGCCATTACTAATTTCATTGTGGATTATTACTTTGGCAGTGAGCGGTTGTCATCTGTTGGCATTAATAATCAATTTTTTTGTCTTGATTTCAACATATCGGATTGGTTGGAGTGAAATTATTTTGAGTGTTTTTCACTTTCAGACTGCAATGAATCCCAACACAAGTACCAACAACACAAACGACAGTTTCGAGCAGTTGTTAAATCAGTATCTGCCGGTTACTCAACATTGGTTCTCCTCAGATAGAGCCAGGCCGCGGTTTCGCGCGGGGGCTGTTCGACCCAGAAGATCTACAACAGTTCAACGAGGAGTAGAACTGAGGAGTCAATACGCCCGTATTGTAGCGAATTTCAGGTCCAAACGGGGCAGGATACCAAAACAACAATCTCAGTCAGTCAACAGTCTCGAGATCTTAAAGTCACCAGTGGTCGCTGCGGACCAGAAATCGTTAACTGGACTGGTGGGAATTCTGGACTCAGATGTATTATCGGAGCTCACGGATGAAGATGCCAGTTTAAGCCTCATGAAAGGAGCAATTATCAACCGGGATTACGAAGGATTTTGCCGTATCGACTCCTATATTAAATCATTTTGGCATTGTGCAGCGGTAGTTGATGGCTGTGTTGTGGTGGATAATAGGATCGCTATTCCCATGTGTCTACGCAAACCTTTGTTATCTCGACTCCATAGATCGCATGCGGGTTAGTTAGCAATGGTTGACGCAGCACAATACATCTGGTGGCCCCGAATGCATCGGGACATTATACAACTGTGCAAAGATTGTCCTCAGTGCACAAAGTTTGGTAAGAATTTGAAAGCGAACGTATCATTTAATTCATCCAAGCCGTTACCTCTTTTATCGGGTCCTAATGAAGAGCTGCAACTTGATTACGCAGGCCCTCTACTTGACTCATTTGGTAATAGTATTTATATCTTGGTCGCAATCGACCGTTATTCAAAATATCCGTCGGCTATGATTACGCGTTCCACGGGAGGACGGAAGATCATTAAGTTTCTCAAGTCATACATTCAACAGCACAGTATCCCCAGATCCATTAAAACAGACCAGTACTCCAGTTTTAAAAATAAATTAGTGCAAAATTTTTGTCTAGAGAAAAATATTGTACAATATTTTTGTCCGGTGGGGGACCATCGTGGCTGTGGTTTAGTCGAACGGTCGATACAAACAATTAAGCGTCGTTTGGGCGCCTCTCGGTTAAGTTCGGATTTCTCTAATGTTCAGGATACCCTTAGGAATATTATTGAAGATATCCGGGTTACAAAAAATTCAGTTACCGGGGTCTCCCCGTTTGAACTTCATTTTGGTCGTCCTCCGAATACGGAGCTATCTATAGCGGCTGATCGGTTAACGTCGGTAATTCATTTAGACAACCAACGTTTGGAACGGGACTTGCTCACACCAGAGCAGCGACGGGAGCAGTGCGATAGTCGCCCCAGAATCAAAGTCGTCAAGAAAGGACAATCAAGCCCGACGGTGTCTCCACATTTTGGTGGAACCACAGATTCAGTAGCGGATACACCCCACTACCGTGCACTGGAGAGCTTGGCACAATCCGCAAACCAGTGGTTGTCATTGAAAAAGTCTCTAACACATCAGGAGGGGGTCAAAGCCCTGAAGACCCTGACGGAGAGAAATCAAATCCTCGCAGCCACTCTTCGTTCGAACTTGTCTGCTGGTACCCTCAGATTCCGGAACCAAATGCCAACGGAACAAATTCGCCCTTCGTTGCCAAAACGTAATTTGGACTATTTAGTATTGAACGAACCAAATAAGGTCGAAATTTTTCGGAAATTTCTAAATAGGAAGTCTGGCAGAGAACTTTTCAAACCTTATAAGGGCAAAATCGTGCGGATCACTGATTCCACATATATTTCTGATAAAGGGAAAGTTATTAGAAGGAATCACTTGGCAGTGCGTCTTAAATCAACCCCTCTAAGTTTTTCAGGAAAACAATTAACTCCTGTGAAGAAAGGGAAGAAACGCCCAAACGTGCCATCTTCAACATCATCATCGGAAGACAATAGGCCTCTCAAACAATCGGGTTCCAGGCAACGTATTTCAGCGAAAACAGTGTACGTGCCTGCTCATTCGAAATTCCCCTCTATGCCAGTTTCACATACTCCACCCCGCAGTCAAATGGTGGCGTCAAAATTAAGGGAAGATGCAACTTCGGAGGCTCCGGGTATACAGAACATCCCGTATCCACAGCATTCTACTCCGGTGGTAGACTTGACAGTCTCTTCCTCTACGTCGGGTAATCCAGGAACAGAGGCTCCTATTAGCGTCAAACCAAGGTGTATTAACGTCAAACCGAAATCTACAGTTATTGTCTCTTCCTCTAAGTCTGGCAATTCAGGAGCGGAAATTCCTATTAGCATCAAGTCAAAGGCGCCAATTCCAATAATGACCCCAGTAGGCTCAGATCTTATTCCCATTTCTTCAGACGAAGAATCGTCAATCTCGAAGTCACAAGTAGGAACTTCATCAAAATTGGTGGCATCGGGCTCTAACACCCAAGATAGTCACGGCATACTTTCGGAACAGGATGGGAATATGTCTTCTTCGTCAAATTCGTCACGATCTTCTTCTCGACGGAAAAAGCAAACTACATTCTACGGTAGCCCTATTAGACACTCAGTTAATGTCATTCAGTCTCAGTCAACAACTACGCCTCCGTCAACTCCTGCCTCTCCGGATAAGAAAGTCCGTTTTGCCGAGTCCGGTTCTGATCGTACTAATCAAGTAAGCCAGTCTCGGGCTGATATACCCGAGGATTCCCCAAAACATAGGAAATTTATTCGTTTCCCCAAAACGAGTACTTCCGACTTTCCTTCGCGTCGGTCAGATAGATAAAACTTTTGTATTTATCGAATTCGGCATTTGGTCCAGAACTTATACAAACTGTTGTACCCTGTATTTGTTAAAACTTTAAACTTTATACCAAGTTTCTATTTGTAAAACTTCATGTCGGTCAGATAAATGAAACTTTTGCATTTATCGAATTCAGCATTTGGTCCAGAAATCATACAAACTATCGTACCTTGTCTAATTAAAACTTTCGCATTTATCAATTCAGCATTTGGTCCAGAAATTATACAAATTTTTGTATCTTGTTCTCGCCATAATCTTTAAATTCATATCAAACCTTCATCTATGATAGTCATTTTCCATAAATCTCTTTGCCTACCTTCACGGTTTCATATGTAAAAGCGCATTTATTAATTTTGTACTTAAGAGTAAAGAAATTCAAACACGGTTTGAATTCTTTTCCCGAGAGGGGGAAATGTGGTGCGTCGTTGTTTAGTCTTAAACATGACGTCATCAGTGTGCTAGCTATTTCGTGCTAAACTCCCTTATCGGTCAAGGTCGTTACCGACCTGCCAATCCACTTGAACCTTAACAGCATGCGCTCTATTCACTCTCTGTCAACTTATGAAAGATTTAAGTTGTATTTACTTCTATTGTCATGACATTATTTAAATACTAATCTATCTATATTATCTATATGATAACATAACAAGGAGAATTAATTCTTGTTTTAAACTGTCTTTCGACGTTTCATATATATATATATATATATATATATATATATATATATATATATATATTGTTCGTATGAGCTCAATAAATTCTGTTTTTTGCACCTACAAAACTTTGTTTTTGCTTCATTCAAAATTTTTCTTTAGTCTTTGCTTAATGTTTCGGTTTTCTATATTTTATCCTTTTTATTTTTTTTTCTTTCATTTTATCGTTTCATTGACCCATTCTTATGTCCAATTAATTCATAGGAATTTTTTTTGGGATGATATAAAGATAGAAAAACTTTTTTGTCGGAGTTACAAAGCGATATAATTGTTGTGACAATATTCAATTTTCTGGCTGTTATAAGAAAAATTGTCTCCTAAATTGGTTAGAAGTTTTTGATTATCCTTAAATTTCTCTCAATGTAAACTATTTTTAAACTTATTTGCCCAGTGCGTGTTGCTAGGCGCTACTAATTTTTGTTAAATCAATATTTTTTAAAACCAAATCGACTTGTTGTGATTTTCAAAAAAAAACTAAATAAATTTTGGCTTATTACAGAAAAAACCTGAAAAAATATCATCTGTAAAATGAACAATTGGGAAATTGTTTTTATTGGAAATTTTACCAAATGTTTGAAACACAAGCTTATGGTTTGAAACACAAGCATTTGAAAAACAACTTATGATTAGAATTTTCTAGACTAGTCTGTATTGAACTCCAAAACCGTCCTTTAGTGGTGAGATGTGTCTGTAAACCTTCCAAGGGAGGTTTGAGTTCGAGCCACTCGTAAAACTATGTCAGAGCTGAAAATAAAGATCTTTTACATAGTTCGCCATTCCAAGACATTAAAAAGTGAACTTAAGTATTCAAGTTAAGTTTTTATTGCGGGCTCGTATAATAGAACAGACTTATATAGGAGCATTTTTACAGCAAAAAAATGTTGGCAAAATGACATATTTTTCGAATAAAATTTCCTTGCAGTTTTTTTTGCAAATACTTGCAAATTAAGAATCTGACTCACAGTCTTCTGATTAAAAACAGCTGCAGTAAATTGCATTTATTTCCTGTTCTGATTTTTTGGTGGTGTCAAATTGAATCAATTTGACATTTTCGGCACTTTGTCGCAAAGGGGAAAGGTGAAATATACAACTTTGACTCTAATAAAAGCAAATTATTGGCAATAAATCATCAATTTAAGATCGATTTTCGGTCAAGCTTTTCGGTGGTGTTACAATCTTTTCTGACAAATCATATGCGTGGTTAAATGCGTATATAATAAGTCCCAAAAGAAAAGAAATTTATTTGCTTGAACCAAAACTGATATAGCAATTCAAGTTAGATTTTGTTGTAGGAATCGATGCCGCGATCTTTGTTGAACATCTTTTTGAGCTCCCTGTGTTTTTGATGCGTCTTGAAAGAGTTCAAGTTCCGTTGGGGCAAAATGTTTTCGGCCCAATTTTGTTGTTGGACTCCCCGAAATGTAACTGGAAACCTGATGTTCGAATTGTATTTGGGACTCGTGCCATGTTCAGAAGCAGGATTGTTGTAGTTCTCTAACATAGGCGCTCCTCTCTTGTGAAACTGACTAAAAATGAAACAAAGGGTTTCAACAGTGATTGATGTCTTTGGCACACTTCGGAGAAGTGACAATTGTCTCCGCCTCTCAAAGGATGGATGCTCACCAGGGCAGGTCAAAAACTAATTGGACAACTGAAAATTGAATTGCAATTAATTTTACAATTAATTGCAGGCACGAATCATCACGCTTTGTTAACAACTTTTTACGCGAGTTCACTCTCCCAGTGTTTTTTGTGGATTTTCCGAAATAACTGCCTCTCCAAGAGATGAAAAGGGGATGCGGACTTTGCCGAAGATGAGAATATGCATATTCTGCAGTACTGAAAATCTTTTAAGCAAAAATGCTGTCTGATGAAGTAAAATTTTTATTTTCAGAGATATGTGCGGGTATTTCTTATAAAAGCGTTTGAGGAATCGATGCCGCGATCTCAATTAATTATAATCGGTCAGGAAAATAATCAATTAGTTGCACAAAAAGTTTCGATTAATTGCAAATAATTGCACTGACAATAAATTTTGACCTGCCATGATGCTCACCGTTTCCCAGTCCGAAAAAAAAACAGAAAAACCATGTTTGTTCGGCTCTTTTCTACCATGTTTTCCATCCTCGCATTTGACTTGCAGCTTGGAAAAAAATGTTTGGCGTTGTCTTAATTCAGTGAGAGCTTATATGGTGAACAATTTTGTGAAAAAGTTTGTTCATTTTCACACCTATGTAGAAACATAATAAATTCAGACATTTAGCCATAATAGCGCGAACGACAAATATGAAAATTGAAAAATTGGAAAGTGTGAGAGAGTGATGGAAAAGAGCCGTATATTCTCATTAGCTTCATAGCAATCGTTTTTTTAAAGGAAATTGATTATATTACAAGTCGTGAAAAAAAAACTGGGAAATATAGTCCTACGTATAATAACAGTATCTTTATTTAAAGTAAGCTCAAATTTTTTTAATCAAGTCGATATAAATACTGAATACGGATAGTATGAATTTAAATAGACCAAAAAATAGTCGCTTGTAGAAAAATAGTCCCCTCATGTCAAAAAGTTCCATAAGATTTAAATAAATCAACGGTAAATTCAATAATGAATTTATGAATTTTAATGAGGGATATAAATAATGGAAGTGATTGAAATGAATTAAAAAGGTCGGTTTTGATTAACTTTCGATCACAATTAAAATGAAATTTCCTGAAGAACAGTTTCATCTTCTTCTTGATTGAAAAAATAATTGTATGATAAAAAATTTATGGTACAAAAATGTTTTTTTTTTAAATAGTTTTTTATTTGAAATTCTGAAAACAGAAAATACAAAAGTTTTTACCGCTGTTGTACCCCATTGTTTCAAATCTGCATGTAATTTTCTGCTGTGCTGTGTATGTTTTTCACACCATCAACCAACGAGCATTGATCATGGTGGGATTAGTTTGAGAATTGGATACCTTAGCCAGTATGATACCTTAGAGTTGAGACAATTTAACGACAAGGTACAGTACCAACATACAAGCTGTTTAGCTCATTAATGAGAACTGCTGTTGTGCATTATTTAAAAACTACATGCAAATTTTATTTGTTGTTCTGGACAGGGTAGTTTTGCCTCACTCTAAAGCAACGAGCACGGATCATGGTGGGCCTCGATGATCCGACTTTATGTTTGAGAGGCGGAGACGTTACCACTCAACCACTGCCCTTGTTCTCACTTATATGATAGTTACGTTTTGGTTGCAACTTACCTGGCGCATGTCCTGTATGGCCACCCTCTCATCATACAGTCGCAGAACCCGGCTGGAAATCCAGAGGCCCGACACGAAGTCGCCACACATGGGATGATCTACAACAACAACAATTAAACAAAACTAATTCACTTTCAAATACGAAAAAATGCTGGTCCTTATTTTTCTTAATTGACAGTGAATTTACAGGATAATTTTTTGTTTTCGGACCAATCGAAACTTCGATGACGAAAACTTCGATGGCGAAAACTTCGATGGCGAAAACTTCGATGGCGAAAACTTCGATGGCGAAAACTTCGATGGCGAAAACTTCGATGGCGAAAACTTCGATGGCGAAAACTTCGATGGCGAAAACTTCAATGGCGAAAACTTCGATGGCGAAAACTTCGATGGCGAAAACTTCGATGGCGAAAACTTCGATGGCGGAAACTTCGATGGCGAAAACTTCGATGGCGAAAACTTCGATGGCGAAAACTTCGATGGCGAAAACTTCGATGGCGAAAACTTCGAAAACTAGAACCAAAAACTCTGAAATCATTTAAATTTTGGACACACGGTGCTAATTACACAAGTAATCGGCTTTTATTGTTCTTTCTAACAAATAAAACACGCTTTGGTCGAATTTGGTCATCTTCTAATGTGAGACAATGTTATTGTTTTTTCGTAAATATCATCGATGGTTTACATAAACATTTACCTAGACCCAACTTGGAAGAACATCAAAAAAATAAGAGTTCCCGGATTGACAAAAATTCGTTATCTGAAAATTTTTTCCATAAGACTCTTACAACTTCTTAAAAAATAGGCTCCAAGAAGATAACAAAATAGTACATTTCCAAACAAAATTTTCTTCTTTCATAATTTTAGTTTTTCTCAAAACCAGTTAAAAAGTTCTCCGCTGTCGCAAAATGCAATAAAGAACTCGTAGCTCAAAAAATACGTTTCAAAGCATGATTTTAGCGAAATACTACTAACTTAATAGAGTCAGTTTTTAGCTGATTACTAAAAATCTTGCCTCAACTCCAAATACAACACGTCCAAAAAAAGTTGATTTTTTTTCTAAATCTATATCCACTACCAATTGAAAAAAGTATTCAGTCTTTATCAATATTCAATATTTAATATTAAACACAATGGCTCTATTCATTAAAATTCCCAAAAAACTTTAAATGTGTTTCAATACCGTAATAAGATATAAAATTTCAATTGTTTTCAAAATCATTTATCTTTTTACGGTATTGAAACATATTTAAAGTGTTTTTGGGAATTTTAGTGAATTTTAGAAAACAATTTGTTGCCTTAGAATTTTTCTTGAAAAATTTGTAAAACCGCGAAAATTTCTACAAGCTGCATAAAAATTTTTAGGGTAGGGGAGTTTTTTTTGTGAAGTGGTCAACACTGGTTAACAACCTAATAAGTGGTGGGCCCTTTTTCCTCCCCCCACCTGCAAATTTTCTAGAGTAAATTTTCTGTTCACATTGTCAGATTGTTATCAAATTTGGCGTTCAGAATTATTAGGCCTGACTAGCAAACACCAAAAATTTCATACTATTATTTCAATTTTCGACATAATGGATGTATTTTTCATGTATTGTTTTTTGCCTTTGGCGGCAATTTTTTTTGCATCTGAAGGGTTTTAGATACTTCATCTAATTACAAATCACAAGAAAGTTCTGATCAACAAAACTATAATGTTTGCGGCATATTGCTGCTTCATAATGCAGTTCTTAAATCATATCTTATGCAGTTTGTATGTGTAATCCTAACGTCGTTCAAAAATTTTTTAATTTCTTTTTTTTTGCAAGAAAGCAGCTCAAACAATTCAATTGAACAAACAAAAATAATTTTTCTTTGTTCCTAAATAAAAACAATTCTAGTTGCAGAAAACTTTTACAAATTTCAAGATTTTGGAACATATGGCCAACAGTATAAAAATTGTGTGGCTATCATTTTTTGTCAACCGGGGTTATGAAGAAACCAAATTTATTTCTTGAAAAACTCACCGCGTATTATAACGACCCAAAAAAAGAGGATAATTTGTTTGGGGTTTTCCCATGCGACACAACAAAAACAACAATTTCCCAAAAAAAAACACAAATCCCACTCATTTAAAAAAGAACATATCCTTTGTCACAACAAAAGAAAACAATTTAAACTTAATTATTTCATGGAAAAAACACTTTTCAAAAGAGATGAAAAATTAACTTGAACTTACCAAAAGTTGCGATAAAAGGACAGAAACAAGGATGAAATTTCTCCACGAAAATACGTGCCATTTTCTTTGGCATCGTGAAGGAGTGCTTTTTGAGCCGACCTTTCCCAAAACTTCCTCTGATCCTATATGTTCTGCTTTCTGACCATTACTGATTTGGTGACCTGTGGGAGTTGACTTCATGTTGGTTGCAGACCGTGTTATTATTGATTTCTGGTTAGTCCTGACTTGAAATCTGAAATGAATTTTATAACTGTTTGCATTTTTGAGAGGCAATACGTACGAATAAGAAATTGTTTTTCAAATAGAATATTTAATTGGATTTTTTGAGGCTTCCTCTAAACTGAACGAATCATAAGAGACGTTATGATTTGTTTATGAGTTTGTACTTCTTAACTCAGAATTTTAAATGAAATATATTTTTATTAACGCAGTTTACCGTGGCGATTAAAAAAGCTAGGGAACCAAAAATTTGGGATATTTTGTATTAACCGAACCAATTGAGATGAAAATTTATAGTACCTTGTTCAGATCTGATAATAAATGAAGTGTTTGTTCTTGTTTAGAAAAATATCTGAGAAAGGAAAACTCATTCTGTATTCAGCACAACTCAATAGATAATAATTACCTCTAAACCATATTTCTAAAATAAAATGAGGTAGCTAATTTAGGTTGAGAAATTATCATATTTGATTTTGAATTGTTAATTAGTGTAAAAAAAATTAGACCAACTGAAGATCAGAAAAGTGTTAGAAAAACGTATCTAAAAGTTACCAAGATAGTACAAGAACTAATGATTAATTGGGTCACAAATTATTTTTTTGGTGATGGAAATAGAGAAAAGTACCGAAGTGCATATGACATGAAGAAAAAAGATTATGAAGTTTATGAAGGAAACTCAAAATGAAAATGAGTGGAAGGTTTTTTGATTTGCGTCTGTGTATGTTGAATTTACATGTTATTTGGTAAACTCATAGAGTAATTTCAGATAAAGTACACCGTCTGCTCGTCAAGCTATCTTATTTTCGGCTGGAAAGGTTCGTGCAACTTCTTAGTCTAATACCAATCTTAATCTTACTCTTATATCTCCTAGTCTCAATAGATCTAGTGTACACCGGTTTATGCGAGTTAGTTTCCAGAATGAGAACAACTGTTTTCTAAGTTTAATTCAAATTGCTCTGGTGCTGAAACTACAAGTAGTTTCAGCACTTACAAGTAAGTGGGTTGTTAGTTTGATGGAGTATAATTGGTTAGTATTCAATATTTTATAGAGATGAAATACCAGATTCATATTCAATAACAATTTCTAGTTTAGATCTGGTTCCACCCATCCGGGGTTTACAGAGTTTTAGTTCTTCAGTGTTCTACTGTAAAGGAGGATGGTTGATGGCGTCATTCTTTAGAAGTTGCGAGCATATTCTTTTTTCCCGATTAGGAAGAAGGGTTGTTATCACGATCGTTTTGGGAGATCGTATCATGATTCTGATCGGTTGTGTTGAGTGTTGATTTGGTTTATTAGAGAATAGCAATGCTCCAATCTCGTTCAGATGTGGCATGTAGTTTGACTTTGGATGAAGTGCCTGGTGACTTGGATCTGTACGTATACTTGAACATCGAGATGGCCATTGTTCTGTTTCAAAGGTTTTCCTTTGTTGCGATGCCAAGTCGTACTTTAGATCCTTTGAGTGTAGTGACTGTAGGCAGCATATCGGGTGTGTTTTGCCATTCCGTAGTTGATTGGGTTGTCAAGTTCCTTGCTGCTCGTCTTTGGGCTGTATGTAATCTATCTTCATATACAAATCTTATTTTCATATACAAATCTCTGTTAATTTTGTTTTTATTTATGATCTTGTATTAACTTTTATCGCAAAAGCGTTCTTGATTAGTTCGGCTATTTTTAAGAGCTACTAACCCTTGAGTAACTCTCGTCAAAAATAGAGTGTGTTTCACAAAGCGTGGATGTAGCACGGTGGGTTAGGCCGGCTATAGAGCGTGCCCAGGATGTCCTCTCTGGTGGGTTAGGCCAGGAATGGAGTATAAATTCATGCTCTCTTTTTTGGAGGGCCTTTCTTGTGTTCGACCTTTCGTGCCTTTTTTATTACTGGTTTTTTCCTTTTCGTCTTGGTTGTGTCCTTTTCTTCAAAATTCAAATCGTTTGTTTTGGGTTTGTTTTTCGACTTTTTTGTGTTTTGTTCTTTTGTGTTCAGACTTGAAAGTAGTCTTCAAAAGAATAGTTTATCCAGCTCTAAGCTGGTTCTAATCCGGTTTGGGAACCGTGGGTTTTCTTTTCTTAGTCATGCTGTTAGGTTGTGGTTTGTGGTGTCTAGTAAGCTGCGTTGGTTATTATGGATTAGTACATAATTCCTTTCCAACCGGGTTGGAGTAAAGTTTGAAATGTGTTAAAACATCTTAGAGTTGTTATCAGTGAAAGTTAAAACTTAAATTCATTATTTTAAACAATTCTTCGTGGGCGAGCTGTGCGATTGTGGATAGGATTGTGGGCGAGTGAATATTTAAAACTATAAAGAAGCGTCTTTGAAAAGGTTAGTACTGCTTCAATTTCATAGGCAACTTTTATTAATTTACCACCTTGAAATTATTAATTTTACGGCTTGATTTGGGGGGTTGAAATTATCAATTTATTTTCATAATAAGAATGTTTACTGCATATGGGAAAAAAGTTTATGTACCAATTTATTGCTGTTTTGGGGTAAATTTTACTGCTTCAGTTATTGTAATGGGTTAATATAAATTTATGATTCTAGAAAAAACTTTTCTGCTTTCTGTTTCGTTTTTCTTTTTTTGTAGATGATTGATGATGGTGCCTGTGAACACTAGAGAGAAAGAGAAAACATTTCTAAAGAATGGTTAGTTTTTGTTCTAATTTGTTAGTAAAAATTGTTTAATTCATATTAGCCTATTCGTCTATGAAGAATCCGTGGGTAAAATTGTCGTGGATGAGTTCTGATGATGTTAGTAATTTAGCTATCAAACGAATGTTGTAATTAGTTTGGAGAAGTGGCCAAAGCAATTCCAGTGCTTCAATGATTTTGTGCTCTCAGTGCTAGGTGAGAGTTCATAAGGTGTATTTTGTATGAGGTTATAAAGTTTTTGGTTTTATCTGGTGTTATGGATGAATTCTAGGATTGGGATTTCAACGGGCTGTAGTAATTCGTGTGGGACAATTAGTGGGCGGGATTTGTCTCGTTTACGTTGAAGGTTTTGGTTAAGGGACAGAATATATACATCTGGGTGATGGGATCATAGGTTAATGCGAATGATGCCTTATAGGTTAATATCTTTATTACAATAAGTGAAGTTTAGAAAGAATGGTGAGGTATATTTCGAGTTTATGTATTGATTTCTGTGTTGAATTTGTCGTGCTGGTGTATTATGAGTGTAATGATGTTGGATGAACTTGTAAAAAGTATAAGTGCGTGTCTGTTTAGTACATAACATGATGTCGTGTGAACAGTGCAAATCACATTCTTTGGGTGTGAGGAAATGAAAAGTGAGTGAGAAGTTGTTAAATTTGTTAAAATATGAATCATAGGCTTGAATATCACGAAGTGCTGCTGAAATGACGTGGCCGTATTTTTTATCTAACTTATTAAGGGTGAAAACCTATGATGTTTTAATGAATCTTTTCTGTTAGTTTAATAATTTTTCTGTTTGTTATGGGTTAGCAAATTTATCGTCGTTCAGAAAGGTGTCTTCGTTTAGTCTTTGGATGAATGGTGATGGAAAATTCGTTAGTTTTGGGTGCGGTTAATCTGATAAGTGACTGTTTATTTCCGATTTGTGTAAATTGTTTTGGAGTTAATGCGGTTGTTGAAAGGTAGAGTTTAAGGCTGCATTGTTCCTTATCATATGGGGTGTTATTTAATGGTAGAGATAGTGGATTACTGAAGTGATAAAATGATGTCCATGAAAGTGTTGAAAATAATACGTGCTCAATAACATAATTAGGGTGTTCTTCATTATGATCTGAATGAAAATAGGTGTTTTGGGGAAAAAGGGGTAAACATATTTGAAGATACTATTTAGTGTTAGTGTGGAGTGGGTGAATAACAAATGTTTTGTCTTTTGCTGGGTGAGAGGGAAATGGAGTATTGGAGAATTATATTTTGAAGGTTCCATAGGCTCGGTTTGATGAGGATGGATTTGACGAGGGAGTTGGGTTTGGTGAAAGGGTGTAATTTGAAGAGGGAGTTGGGGTTGATGGGTTTGATGATATTATGGATTGTGAGAGTTGGTGAATGGTTAGTGTCTGAGGGTGCTGTAATTGTTGCTGAAGTGTAATAAAATTGTCAAGTTCATTAGATATTTGTGTATTTACAGAGCTGTTTTTGTCTGAAGGTTCACTGGTCAAGGGGAAATATGTGGGTGTTACATTGGAAAAAGAAGAGGGAGTGGAAGGAGGTTCAAATCTTATTTGGGAGTAGAGAGGTTGAAACGGAGGTTGGGAAAATGTAGATGGGCTGGGTTCGGAATTGACAAATTTGTCAGGGGTCTCGAGATCTGAATTATTAAATTGGGAAATAGTATTATATACAGTGGTGTTTGAATTAGTATCTGAATTCATGCCGGATGAAGTGTTATCATGAGGTGATTCAGGTGGGGGAAAAGCAAAAATTGGAATGATGGGAATTGGGTTTTGGAGGTTGGTTGGGTGGAAAATGGAACGGTGAAGGGATCCAACTTGTCGGCTCATCGTGGGCTAAAAAAATGATTGTTCTGAGATTGAAACTTTGGGGTATGTAGTTTTTCGATTATTTGTTCATTTGCTTCGTCATTTTGAGATTGTTGCGTTACAATGTGTTGAATTGGACTTTGTATAGGATTTGGTCTTGAATTTGCGATGTTTACTAGTGCTAAGTTTCTGAAATTCCGTGGTACTAGTGATAGTGGATGGTTACGGTTTAAATTTGGTAGTTGTGGTACTGCAGGTAATGTATTTGTGTTATTGTGTGACTCGTCATATGTGTTTGGTGTAGTTGATAATTTTGTATTGTATTCTTTTATTTGTGCATCTTAAAGTATTTTATTTTTAGATGTAGAGAATTTTCCAAAAAATCCTGCAAAAAGTATGCGTGCTACGCTTGCTTGTTTGTTTACTTGTGTGCGTATTGCGCATGTAGTAGATTCCTTTTTGTAGAGAGAAAAGAAATCCAAGAAAGGTAAACATTGCGTATATTATATAGTCAATCTTTCTAAGATGTAGTAGGGCCATCCTAGAAAGGCAAGAATTTCGTTTTTCAAATTAACAAAAGTAAAAAAATGTGTTGACAAAATTTATTGGTGATATATCTTGTGGTCTGTAGTTTTCGCCATTTAAGTAAAGGTAATCTTTTATATCTTTAA